CATTCTTTTGGTGAATTGGGCCTATACAAATCACCTGAGGGGTATAGGCATCTTTATTTACTTGACGAATGTCTACCGGGACATGGTAGATACACATCTCTTCCGGCAAGGTCGTTTGCATGCTATCTGGAACTTCCTTCAAAAGCCCTTCAATATCAATTGAAGTGCTCGCTGAACCACTGCCACCCATCTGTCTAATTTCACTGCTCAAATGACAATAAATGTCTGTCATTACCCCAGGGAATCAATTTTTTTATATATAAAAAAAAACCCTACTCCCTATTTTTAAGTATTTGAACTCCACAATAGAATCTTTCGGGTTGAAAACTTGCCCCAACCTGACCCATCCCAATTATTGCTAGGAATTACTCCTAATTGTTTGATGTTCATTTTCCCGGATGCCTTTGTTATTTGGGACCCATTTATTTTGTCTCTTATTTGGTTTTCTTGGCTGGTTTGTTTTTTCTAGAGCATCTGCTAGCTTCGAGTCATATTTTTTTTCTTTTTTGAATAGCTAGCTAGCATCATTAAAGAAAAAATAAATTAGACCATTTCATTGCCGGCTGGACTCCAGGGTAAAAATAATGTTAGTAAGACAAAAAAGATTTGAGAGGTTGATATCACACAAATTAGGAAGATTCACATATTGAATGATTTTAGTGACTGGACCCAAACCTTTAAAGTAGAGGTAGAGCTATCCGGACTCTTCAAATCCCCAGCTGCAGAGAGTAAGGTCGTTACTGTCCCAGGCGAATAGCACAAGAGCAAGCTGTTTGTCCAGAATTAAGAGCTCTCAACTGGAACCTGTGCATATATGGCTCAATCAAGGAATATCCATGCATGTAGAAAACAAAAGGAAATACCGAGCAGAAAATGGAGCTAAAAATTCATTATTGTATGAATAATCCATGGTTTTCCAATCAAACGCAGTGATTTGAATTTTATCTGTATGGTAATGAGGTCATGAAACTTAATTCCGAACCGGCCAAGTCATTTGGAGTTTAATATTAACCATGCTGCAACTCGAAAATTGTTCTTGTTTTTTCTCAGCATAGGTATGAGCTTATGCATACGGTATATAAACAAAGGAAGAAAAGGGATATTGGGCCACAAATGGGTGATTCAGTTAAAAGAATTAAAAGTTGAACTGACATCAAATAGATTGCAACATATTGAATGAAGACATTTTAGAAGGTGAAGAAGATACAGAGGAGAAATAAACCTTGGAGGTCTTAGGGTGAAAGAAGACAGAGGAGAAATAACATTGGAGGTCTTTCTATAATGCCTTTTCCATAACATGCGTTGCTTCCACATATATATAAGGCCGCTGCTAGCTCCTTGTTATCTTCAGCATGGGTATGAGCTTATGCTTACGGTATATAAACAAAGGAAGAAAAGGGATATTGGGCCACAAATGGGTGATTCAGTTAAAAGAATTAAAAGTTGAACTGACATCAAATAGATTGCAACATATTGAATGAAGACATTTTAGAAGGTGAAGAAGATACAGAGGAGAAATAAACCTTGGAGGTCTTAGGGTGAAAGAAGACAGAGAGGAGAAATAACATTGGAGGTCTTTCTATAATGCTTTTTCCATAACACGCGTTGCTTGCGCATGTATATAATGCCGCTGCTAGCTCCTTGTTATCATCAAACACGTGATTTGTTTTGATTCGAGTGTCTGGATGAAAGTGTTCGAAGGTGTTTCAATAAGCCTGTAAGCGGTTTCTTCGATTTTTACAAATATTTTTAATTTATTATAATAAAATATATTAAATATAAAAATATATTTTAAAAAAATTAGAATTTATATAAGTTTAAATCTATAAATATATAAAATAATAACTCATGGTAAACATGGATTTAATATAAATATAAGATAAAAAATACAAATATGTATAATAAGTATATATTCAGACTTATAATATATATAAAATCAAAATCCTAACATACATACCAATAACAAAAATAACAACATTTAAATTAAAATAATTAAAAAGAGTAATTATTTGTTGAGGCACTTTAAATAAATAAATTTTTTGTTGTTGTTAAAGATAATGTTTTTGTTCTTAAAGCTTTATTTCTCATTTCTATATAATTAGGATATTTATAATATGCATCCCGAGATTCTAACAACACTATTTCAGTGTTTATTTTAAAGGTGTTGTTGGGTTTTTTTTGTGAGACCCATATAAAATATATGCATTTTTTGTTTTTGTAAGATATGGTTTGTGCTTTAAAAGGGTTGTGCTTTTAAAAAAAGACCATCACATCTTTGTTTTGATGCAATTTCAAATCAAGATTTTTGAACCAAAATAGAAAGACTCGATCATATCTCAATAAAGCTCTAGATTTTATAGGAGTAAAATCAGAGTATAAAAAAAAAAGGAAAAACATATTAAAAATAAGGTGAGAAAGAGGGCATAAAAATATGAAAAATATTATTTAAAGTCTTCATTTACCTCTTTTTTTATAGTAAATTTTAGAAGCTAAAAGGTTAAAAAATTAATTCTTACTATTTAACATTTGATTACCCACCATAAAACAAGAATTAAATTTGAATATAGTAGTTATAAATTTGAATTTCTTAAGCTGAAACAAACTGTTCAAATTTGCTTGAAATGCTTTGGGAAAATTCATGGGATGAATTGGACAATCAATAAGCTAGAAGAATAGAAGAAATAATTAATTCTTCATGGATCCAAGTCCAAATTTTAGCTCGCAAAATATAATTATTTGTGATCCAAAATATTATTTTACAATAAACTCATGTTTAGACCCGGCCTGACAAACACGTGTTTAAGACTAAAAGTTTAAAACTCACTTTATATAAAATCTCTCTTTTAAAATCTTCAGTACTTTTTAGGTTTAAATTTAAGTTTTCAACCATCCCTTTTATAAATATCATGATTCATTTTTAGGTCTACTTGTGCTTCCATTCTTTTGAAAGTTGTTATTGCCACTAAGAGTTTAAATTATTTAGTGCTTTTGGTTTGTGATTTGATTGAAAAAATAAAAATCCAGTTGGGTTGTGAATGTGAAGGCTAAAGAGAAATGAAAAAAAATAAAAAAATATATTATTTATATAAAAAACTCGAATTATTTATATTTAACTATAAATATCAGGTTGAGTTTTTCATTATTATTATATGTAATATCTACATTGTCTAATATTAACAAGTTAAGTAGGTCAAATAATATCATATAATGTAAATATATACCTTTTGATCAATCACTTAAATTAAACCTAACTAATACTTGTTTAAGTATGGAATTTTGTATACAAACATAATAATGCAAATATAATTTTTGTGAAAGGGCTTTATATTCTAAGATTCCCAATTTAAAATTAACATCCAGCACACACATAAATATGACAAAATATTTTATCATGCCCCTGAAAACAAATCTTAATCTGATCCATCTAAACCTAACAAGTTTTATCTTTTCTTTGTTTCTTTACTGTCCAGATATTAGTTTCAATTCCAAATTTTAATTCAATCTAGATAGGGATTCTCAATGTTTTGGGGTCCTTGAAAACAAAATAGAAAAAATCTCTATTAATTATTATTGATCTTTGTATATATTATTTAACTCAAACAGTTTTAGGAATATATAATTATAATTTTCAGACATTATTTGAGGTCTGGTTTAGTTTAGAGTTTGAAATTATTCAGTGATCATGTTAATTAAAATTAATTATATTTAACTGAATCAATATTAAATAATTTAAAATGAAACTCAAATATAGTAAAGCTTCGAATCAACAAGTTGATTCCTATTCAAAGTTTAATAACAATATTTATACGACCATAAGCTAGAAAAACTTGTGGACCGTCATAATTTGAAAGGAATAGAAGGACACGAAAAAGGTTCTTTTACTTTTCTTTTGTTTTCTTCCATAACAAAGAATTTGATTTTCATTCTTTTTTTTTGGTTTGAATAGATTATTCGTTAACCAAAGCATGTCTTCCCACAAGGAATAAATAAAATTTGAACTTCTTCTTTATTCTCCATGATTACTGGCTCGCAGCAATTATTCTCTTGTTTGGTTGATTGGATTCTCTAATGTGTTGATGCCATGTGAATAGAATAATCAAGTAATTTCCATCCATAATCAATACCCAAATATATATCATAAAATAAGATACATGCTTAGCCAAGTGTTTCCATACAATGCCCTAGTGGTCTGTGCATTCTTGTAATCACATTTCTAGAATGCCACCAGAGGCCCCAGGCTTCAAAAACCTTATGCCGTGACGAAGAAACTCCAATTTTCAAGGCACGAATGATGAAGAATGAAGAGCTTCGGATGAGTATAAAGCTGCATGCACTATCTGAAACTAACCATATTAATTTTAAATAAAAAAATTAAAATAAAAAAAAACACAATTTTAACTATATTAATTTTTAAATATTAATGTAGTTAATATGTCCATCATAATTCAACTTGGACCGTGAGAACATAATTTTTCATGAATCCCGATAATCTAAAATGAATATTTGCCTGTTCTTAACCAAATTAGAAAAGTAGATTGTTTGGAAAATGTTGCGAGGAAATAAGTTATTATGAATGAATTTAAATTGCCTAATTAACGTTATTGGAGAAAGATATTGTCTTCAGAAATCTAGTCCAAAATATTATTTCTACTAATTTTTTTTTAAAAGGAACAAGAACGTAGACTAAAATGGCAGAGAAGACCCAACAAAACGATATTCGGTCTTATTTCTTGCGAGTTCTTCTAAGTAAAGGAAATTTGATTGGAAGGGGAGGTAATTACTGCTACAGTCAAGAGATTAGGGTACAGTTTGACGGGCTCATCCGAGAAATTTAAGATTTGAAATCTAATCCACACCAATTTCATTGATATTATTCATTAGTTATTATCAAATTTAATTAATTTAATTAATTTTGCTTAACTCTTCAAACTTAATATAATCAATAATAATATTTTTTTAAAATAAAATAATATCATTTTAATAAAAAAAATTAACTCCACAACACCCCATTTACTGACATCATATCTCAATAATCTCAATAATTTTCTATATAAAACCCAAGCATGAAGTGACAAGTATGAATTAAAGATTCATGCTTGTTCAACTGTTAACAAATGTAAATAAGAGATTCATGCTTGTTCAACCGTTATTGTTATTACAATAATAATAGTTGGATTTAGTTTTATTAATGTTGACGGTTCCTCTCCAAACATGTTGCAGCTTAATAAGAAAAATAGATTTACCTAAACATGTTGGAATTAGGGATCTCTAAACTTGAAATTTTATATAGGATCGATAGGCATAGCTACTCATCTAAGTAGAATCTACGAACACACAAGAATATCTCGATTAAATATTTTTATATAGTTTTTTAATTGGCAACAGCCCTGTACTTTTTGCCAAGATTTCAGGTGTTTGGACTCTGCCAGAAAAAAAAAAATCTTTCTAAGTCCCTCTAGCAGATATAATTTAAAATATATCTTTTAATAAATTATTATTGATATTAACACATTAAAATAATTTAAAATTATTAATTTAAAATAAAAAATTTAAAATTTAAAAAATATGTTGTCACCCGTATTCTCAAATACTCTTGTAGGCAATATGTCAGCCATGGTTTAACTTCTAATATGGACCGTGAGTACCTAATTCTTCATGGATTACTGTAATCTAAAATGAATATTAGCGTCTTTTTTAAAATCAAATTAAAAAAGTAGATTGTTTGGAAAATATTGCAAGGAAATAAGTTATTATGATTTTTTTTTGGTGAAATCGAGAATTTATAAAGAATAAAAAAGAAAAATCTAAATAAAAAAAGTAGGGGTTTAATTATATAGGTTGCAGTCTACACATCAACCTAATTATGGAAGAAAAATGAGGAAACAATTATTAGTTAGAGGTTATTAGTTTAAATTTTATAAATTTTAAGATAATTAGAGTTTTATACAGTCATCAATTTTAAAATTTTAAAAAATTAATTAAAATATATATAAATTAATATAGAAAGATACAGTTAGCAACTATAAATGTTTTTTGAAAATGGGTGCAACCGGCAGTTGGCTTTTCACCTACATGAAAAAATATTTTATACTTTCTTTATATCCATGTCCGAAAACACCATATTAACTTTATCAATTTAAATAGGTCAGATAATATAAATATTATAAATAAACTATTTTTTTTTATCACCCCTAGTTTTAAGGTGTTCAAGTGGATCTTTTGATTAATCTCTTGAATCGAATCTCGCTAATACTCATTTAAGTAATAATGCAAACATAATTTTTGTGAAAGGGCTTTATATTCGATGATTCCCAATTTGAAATTAACATCCAACACACACATAAATATAGCAAAATATTTTATTATATCCTTGAAAACAAATCTTAATCTGATCATTCTAAACTTAACCATTTTTACCCTTTCTTTGTTTCTTTATTGTCAATATATTTGTTTCAATTCCAAATTTTAATTCAATCCGGATAGGGATTCTTAATATCTTGGCTTCCTTGAAAAAAAAATTCTTTATTAATTATTATTGATCCTTGCACGTATTATTTAAGTCAAACAGTTGTAGGGATATATAA